GAGAGTTGGGGCACAAACGAGAGTTAGGAGGAGACACTGGGAAGAGAGGAGGGAGGGGAAACTATGGTCAGGATGTAAATAATAATAATAAAATTATTAAAATAAAAAGGGGGGATTGATGACAAAATTCAATATTTTTGAATAAAGTTAAGAAGTCTGGTAGATATTTCTCTTAATGTGCAGTGCACTCCACACAATATAAAAGCTTAGACACACATACACAAAAAGTTTACCCACTTTTAAAGTGGATTAAATAGTACTATTGATTGATTGATTCATTCATTCATTCATTAAAAACATCCCAGGCTATTGATGAATTGATAAGTAACCAACTTAACAAAAATCCAACTTTTTCTTTTATTTTATGTGTATGGGGTGGTGGTGCAAGTGCCTATGGCTGGTAGAGCAACTGGGTCCCCTGAAACTCCACTTACAGGCAGTTGTGAGATTGCTCTCCTCTCTGTGGGTGCTGGGAATCTAACTTGGGCCCTCTGCAAGAACAGTACATGTTCTTAACCACTACAGGCCACAACCTTAGTCTTGATCCTCCTGCCTCCACCTTCACAGTGCTGGGATTACAACTGCGTGCCACCTCAGGGCTTCGTGCATACTGGGCCAACACTCCTCCACCTAAGCTACAACCAGAGCCTGGTCACAATCCTTGTATTCATAATATGGAGCAATATAAAAATGCCAGCAGGTTAATTCTGTGCGTTTTGTTGCTTGCTGTTTGTTTGTTATGTTTTCCTTCTGTCTTTGCAATGGCTTTTGGGAATCTATCAGAAGTCTTGGGAAGGTTGTCACCGTCCACACTGCTGGTCCTGTACCACCTACATAGAGAGCACTGCTCTTCTTCATAACGATAATGTCCAGTCATGTAGGAAATTAACAAGACAAACTCTGTTCTGTCATCAACAAACGAGTCTTTTCTGTATATATCAAAAGGCCCATCCCACAAAGTTCTGACCTGTAATTTAGTTTTCCTGAGACATCAAAATGAGAGTATAAGAGAAGCTTGTCACACTCAACCTTTGAGGTAGTTTGAGTTTTGTAGGTCATAATGGAGACAGTGCTTCATCCAAGATCAGCCCCGAGTGTCTGTCTGATTAGGAACGAGCTGATCCCTCATCACTAAGCTCGCCATGCTGACGCATGCCTTCTGGACCAACACGCATCTGGTTGCTTTCATTTTCAAATTGTCCTCTCCAGCTTTAGAAAAACATCCTGTGAAATTTTGTCCGACATGTCTGGGATTTAAGAACAATGACTTTGGCTGGGAGTGATGGTGCACGCCTTTAATCCCAGCACCTGGGAGGCAAAGGCAGGCGAACTTCTCTGAGTTTGAGGCAAGTCTGCTCTACAAAATAAATTCAAGGCCATCCAAGGCTACATAGTGAGAAACCCATTCTGAAAGAAAAAAAAGACAGGAAGAAAGGAAGGTATTGTGAGGTATTCACCAAATAAGACCGCTCAGACATGGGTTTAAGCCAATGAAAAGTCTTTATTAGCTGACCAACTACTACACTGGTTGTTCAGGATCCCAGTGTAGCTCCAAGACTTTCTCAGGGTGAGCTTTTAAGCACAAAAACCATGTTCTGGGTTGACATGCTTCAGTTAACGAGAACAGTTAGCCAGAAGCAGAACTACAGAAGCCAAAAAGCAAGGTTAGTACATGTAGAGACTTTCCCAGAACTGTGGACTTTGATGGACTAGGCCTTTGTTTCAGTTTTGGCAGGTGATGCTGTCTGCATGCTGAGCTCTAGAGCCTGAATGGTTCTTCCACCATGGAGTCAGTTGTGCTAAGGTCTCGGGGCCTACCAAGGTCCGGGCCCTGTTACAGAAGGAAAAGAAAGAAAGAGCAATGATTGCGTAGGAAATGTGTGATTTAGGGGCTGGAGAAACAGCTCAGTGGTTTAAGAGCACTTACTGCTCCTCCAGGGAATCCCAAGCTTAGTTCTCAGTGACCCACATGGCAGTTCTCAAGCCTCTGTATGTCTAGGTCCAGAGGGTCTGACACCCTCTTCTGGCCCCACAAAACACCAGGCGCATGTGGTGTGCATGTGGTGTACACACATACATTCACATAAAACATTCATCCATATAAAGCACTGTGGTGATATTTTAATTGTGCTGAAATGTGATTTTATTTGTATGTTAATAAATAAAGTTTGCCTGGAGTTCAGAGGTCACATAGCGAGGTCACATAGCCAGAAACAGGAATCAGGCAGTGGTAGCACATGTCCTTAATCCGATCACATGGCAGGCAGAGTCTCTGTGTGGTCAAGGACACAGCCAAGCGTGGTGACACAAGCCTTTAATCCCAGTACCAACCATAGAGACCTGGAGGTCTGTATAGACAGGCAGGAAGTCATGTGGCTGGGGTTAGAGCCAATGAGAAGGCAGAATAGAAAAGCAATAAAAACTCAATTCAGACACGAAGAAGGTCACACAACAGCTTGGTGGTAAGCTAAAGAGTAGTCAGTGGCTCTTCGCTATTTCTCTGATCTCTTCGGCTATTACCCCTGTATTTGGCTCTGTGTTTCTTATTTACTAAGACTGTTTAGACTTTCATCTACAAAGCACAATAAACTTTTTTTAATTAAGAAAATATATGATTTATATCACTGGCCCTGTCCACATAGTAACAGAATGGTAGTGAGTGGACTTTACACAAAAGATTTTGTTAAGTACCATTACTTATGAATTTGTTCCCACGGATTAGAATAAATGAATCATTCATTAGGGCAAGCAAGTTCTAGGCAGGCCAAATGACTCGATGGTGAAAGTACTTGCTCCAGTTCTTCGTAGTGGCACACATCTTTAATCTTCTAGCAGTTGGGAACCTGAGGCAGGTGGATCTCTGTGAGTCCAGCCTGGTTTGCATTGTGAGTTCCACGAACACTAGAGCTACATAGTGAGACCCTATGTCTCAAACAACAACAAAAAACAAAGACAAAGAACTTACTACACACCCCATGTTGATGTGAGTTCAGTCCCTGACACCCACAGAAAAGTGGAGGGAGAGAAAGTGTCTCCTTATGGTTGATTTCCCCCTGTGAGCTCAGCATACATATCATGCACACACAATAATAAAACATTTTAAAACAATTAAGTTCTTTATTGCTTGACAACCCTATCATTAAAATAGAATAGAACAAAACATTAGATTACTGTACCATATTGTTATACAGCTGTTCCAGGATTGTATCATATTTGGAACAATTAGTGGTCTTGGTTTCCTGACATTTTAAAATATACCCTCCTGGTACTATTTGAAATCCTGTAGTTGTGTTACTGAGAAACAAATGTGATAAGTTAAAAAAAAAATTCTAAAATGTGTCAGGCATAGATAAGGAATAAGTCATGCATTATATATATATATATATATATATATATATATATATATATATATATACATATACCAAAAGATTAGCATTCATAAGACACACATGAAATATCAAGATGTTAAACATGCATGAGATATAGGGAATACTCAATATTCATTGTCTTAGTTACTTTTCTTTTGCTGTGAAGAGACATCATGACCAAGGCAATTTATAAAAGAAACGTTTATTGGGATTGATTTTTCCAGAGGGTTTGAGTTCATGGTCATCATGGGAGCAGGCAGGCAGGCATGGCACTAGAATGGTAGCTTAGAGCTTACATCTGATCCACAAGTAGGAGGCAGAGGCAACTGTAACTGAGAACAGCTTGGGCTTTTGAAATGTCAAAGCCCAGGGGTGGTGGTGGCACACGTCTTTGATCTCAGAACTTGGGAGGCAGGGGCAGGCAGAGCTCTGTGAGTTCAAGGCCAGTGTGGTCTACAAAGTGAGGGCCAGAAGAGCCAGAGCTGTTAGAAAAATCCTATCTCCATGAAAACAAAAACCAAAACAAACCAACCAAACAAAAACACAACCTCAGCGTCTACCCAATGACCCACCTCTCCAAGGCCACACTTCCTCATCCTTTCCAAACACTTCCTCCAACTGCAGAACAAGCACAGGAATATGGCTGCATGAACATGGGAGCCAGAGGAGGAAATGCCAAGGCCTTGACGTCTATTGTGCCCTAAGGGGACGTCACCAGCTTGAGCACTGCAGAGACCTCCCTCTCCATCCCACACACATGGACCACTCCCAACCATGCATCCATGCTGCTACAGACCTAACGGTCGTGACCGGGCTCGTTTTCTCTGTCAACTAAAGACTTCCAAGGCAGGAAAAATTTGCCAGTGAACGGCGGAAAAGCTCAACAATTTCAGACAGCAGCAGACAGAACCAACAATAAAGGCATTTATTAGGGCGAGGGAAAAAGAAGCGCTTGCCACTGGCACACGCAGGAGCAGATCTTGTGCGCACACCGGGAAGGCGATGAAGCCAGTCTCTCTCCGGGAGTTGCGTTTATTCCCCTTCCACCCCACCGGCCGCCCCCACTTTAGAGCCGGCATTTAGACCATCAAGATCATCAGACGGCTGACCGGCCCAACTGCTGGTAAGGCCTGATGGGGCGTCCTGATCGCTCCCCCAGTCGGTCCGGAGGGGGCCTGCTGGAGTAATGGAAAAGGGCAGCAGGCTCGTCTGAGGCCTGGAGCTTTTTCGTTAAGGAAGTCATGTGGGTTGGAAGTTCTCCTTAACGTAGCCATGGGCCAGGGGGAACTCCTAAGTGACGTGCATTTGTACCTGAAGCGGGCAGAGCACCCACCTCTCACAGGCCTAAATGTCACGGGCACGTCTGCCATTTAACCTCCACCATAGAGGGGAGATGCAAACCGCGGAATAGTGAGGACACTGGCACAGCCCCAGGACGGGAGGCCCCGCGAACGAGGGATCCGGTCCGCAGCCGACTGAGCTGCGTGCCGCACAAATCCCGGACATCGGGACCTTACAGTAAACAAAACAGTGCCGCAGCTCTCCCGAGGGTCAGGTGGGCGGCCCTGAAAAGGGCCTTTAGAGAGAAAAAGAAAAAGGAGCCGAGCAGCTCAGCCGCCGAAGCCGTAGAGCGTGCGGCCCTGGCGCTTGAGCGCGTAGACCACGTCCATGGCGGTGACGGTCTTGCGCTTGGCGTGCTCCGTGTAGGTGACGGCGTCGCGGATCACGTTCTCCAGGAACACCTTCAGCACCCCGCGGGTCTCCTCGTAGATGAGGCCGGAGATGCGCTTGACGCCGCCACGCCGGGCCAGGCGGCGGATGGCGGGCTTGGTGATGCCCTGGATGTTGTCGCGCAGGACCTTGCGGTGGCGCTTGGCGCCGCCCTTGCCCAGGCCCTTCCCGCCTTTGCCGCGGCCAGACATGGCTACAAAGGGAGAGGAATCCCAGTGATGCCATCTCCGACACAGCAGTTCGCTCTTATAGGGAACGTGCGGACCGGAGTGAGAACAGGAAGCGCAGTGGCGGGAACTGCTTGTGGCTAGGGGGAGGGGCCCTCAGCGCAATTTAAAAGCTGAGGACTGTAAATGGAAATTCCGTCTAATGTCCTCATCTCCCCACACTTAACGTTTTCCTTTAGTACTGTTTGACGTGTCGAACAACGGAAGAGTCAGGTGAGCACTCGTAGCGTGCGAGAATTTTTAAAGAGCTTTTTACCATTTTCGTTTAATGTGATCCCTACCGTGTCCTTATGAAACAAAATGTATTATAGAAAATACAAAGGGAAACATTGTAGCACTTACATTCATATTCTTTCCACTATTTGGGCATAACCATGCCTTTTAACTTTAAAGATATAAATTTAAGGACCGAATAATTTAATGCCAGAAATGTATGTATGCGTGTATGTATGTAGACTACACAGCAGGGCGGTGGTGGCGCACGCCTGTGATCCCGGACCTCCGAGCAGAACTGGCCAGTTTGGTCTCAGCCCCGGCTACAGAGAGAAACCGGATCTGCAGGCGCGGTGGCCGGCACTCCAGAGGCAGAGGCAGAAGGATGTCTTTAGTTCCAGGACAGCCAGGGCTACACACTGAAACCTGCTCGAAAAACAAAAAAACCCGAACTCCAGTTTGTGAATTTGAAAATGAAAGTGGCCATCTGAGTGACTACCACGAGATTGTCAACACTTAATAACCCCAGTTATAGATGTCAATTTTCTTGAGTAATGGCTAATGCTAAAATGCAAATGGGACGCTCTCAGGGAAACTACATAGCCTTAGCCTTATTTTTAAACGTTGGTCCATATACGCCACATCACTCTCTCTACTCTGGACATAAATCGCAAAGGTTGGGTTAGGGGTACTCTAGTTCTAAAGATAATGTGTCTCTCGCACAAAATGCCACTGTTTCGTGCAAAAGTGTCCAGCGCTTTTAAAAGAGACTGTGGATGGCTCTGAAAAGAGCCTTTGGTCTGTTTTTTAAGTGGCTTTGGTCAAATGCCTCATTTTCCCTTGGCCTTGTGGTGGCTCTCGGTCTTCTTGGGCAGCAGCACCGCCTGGATGTTGGGCAGGACGCCGCCCTGCGCGATGGTCACGCGGCCCAGCAGCTTGTTGAGCTCCTCGTCGTTGCGGATGGCCAGCTGCAGGTGGCGCGGGATGATGCGCGTCTTCTTGTTGTCGCGGGCCGCGTTGCCAGCCAGCTCCAGGATCTCGGCCGTCAGGTACTCCAGCACGGCCGCCAGGTAGACCGGGGCGCCGGCGCCCACCCGCTCCGAGTAGTTGCCCTTGCGGAGGAGCCGGTGCACGCGGCCCACGGGGAACTGCAGGCCGGCGCGGGACGAGCGGGTCTTGGCCTTGGCGCGAGCCTTGCCGCCCTGCTTGCCGCGTCCAGACATGGTGAACACACAGTAGCCGTTACCAACTGGGTGCATGAGAACCGCAAGAGCTTGGGCCTTATAGTCTTCTCTGGGCGCGAAAAAGAACCCCTGTGATTGGCTGTTTTTTCCTTTCGTTTAGGCCAATGAGAAGCGTTTGTGCCGACCTGCACACTTCGATTGGGCAAGACTCCGGATGACATCATCAAAATAGCACTCAATCAGAAGTGTTCTTTTCTCAGCCTCATTTGAATAACGCCCTTATAAAAAGGGAAGTTACGGGCCAACTCGGTGCTACAGTTCCTGCAGTTGCTGTCTCAAGATGCCTGAGCCCGCGAAGTCCGCCCCCGCCCCGAAGAAGGGCTCCAAGAAGGCCGTGACCAAGGCCCAGAAGAAGGACGGCAAGAAGCGCAAGCGCAGCCGCAAGGAGAGCTACTCGGTGTACGTGTACAAGGTGCTGAAGCAGGTGCACCCCGACACGGGCATCTCGTCCAAGGCCATGGGCATCATGAACTCGTTCGTCAACGACATCTTCGAGCGCATCGCGGGCGAGGCGTCGCGCCTGGCGCACTACAACAAGCGCTCGACCATCACGTCCCGGGAGATCCAGACGGCCGTGCGCCTGCTGCTGCCCGGGGAGCTGGCCAAGCACGCCGTGTCCGAGGGCACCAAGGCCGTCACCAAGTACACCAGCTCCAAGTGAGCGCGGACCTCACCGTAACCCAAAGGCTCTTTTCAGAGCCACCCACGGTTTCAGCGGGAAAAGCTGTTAACACACGGCGTCTCTTCCTGTAGTCGGTTTGGAACCTGGACGTATTGTAAACTTTTTTTAGTCTTCAGTAGGGCTCCTGTGAACCCTTGCCCAGGTTTTTCCGGTACTAGTGTCTCCAAGGGTCCTGCCGCGACGCTCACCCTCATCTACCTCTCCAAGAAGTGGAGGAAAACGAGGACTGCGTTGCAGGCAGCAGGTAAGTCCCTGGTCTTACGTTTCGTTACTGGACCAAACTGAACTTGTTGGCAAACCAAAACCAAAGAGTGGGCGGCGGTAAGAACTGCGGTCATCTTCCCTAAAGGGGGGGAATCCTGTTGGCAGTGAAATCCTTTGCTGGGAGAGGCGGCACCAACACTGACACGCAGGCGCTAAGTAAATACTGACTTGAAGGGTCAGTCAGTACTCCTGCCCGGGGAGGGCCTTTGAGATTCGAGCCTTGTCTACAGCGATTTACTATCCGTGTATCCGGTTTAGTTTGTTCTAGGACTCGACCAGGGAATATTGTAAGCGAGTGGCCCCCTGGGTTGATGACTGTATTTCCAGGATAAGAGATCGGGAAAGAGATTCATCGAGATGCGTTTTCACTTGTTACCTATCAAGACGCAGGTGTAAGAACTGAAGAAAAGGAAGCTTCAGCCCAGGTTGGCTTAGGAATGGGAAGAGACTAGTCTTGAGCTCTAGCTTTATTGCCCACTGGGTAATCCTCAGTAGAAATTAAAGCACATCTTTTAATGTTTTTGTTATCACCTAAGCCGCCCCTATTTCCTAGACCATTTGCTATATAGTTAAAATTGCTTTCAATATCTACTTTCACCTAGTAAGTCTTGTATAATATTGGAGGGACCAGCCTTAATCTTACACATCCCATGGGCTCAGGAGAGAAACTACAAACGGTGAGGACTGTTTTCGGGAAAATAGAATCTCAGCACACCGAGTCTTTAGTCCATTCACTTTTAATTCCTCCTTCAATCTCTAGCTTTACAGTTATATACCCAAACAATCACAATCCTCCCATCCAGCCAGGTCACCAGGCCTGATTCCTGCAAGGTCATAAAGGCAGGTAAGAGTTTCCCCAGGCAGGAATTGTCAGGCTTTCTTTTATGACCTGAAAATGGAGTGGTTAAGGGAGGAGGTCAGCTGAGAGCTGATATCAGTTAGTATATCAAAAAGGGAATTTATGTGCTCAATCTATATTCCTAGGAGTGGTTAGGTAAGAAGTTAGGGGTCTATGAAGTTAGTAAGGCTGTAAGAAAGGAGAGTCCCAGCTAAACTGTGTAAAGCTATTACTTAAGGTCCACCTGACCTAGGCAGTGTCTCCTTGTGGAATTTACCTTGAATCAGAAGACTTATTATGTGGTGGTTTGGACTGTTATTTCTGTTAGTCCTTGAAAGTGGCTAAGGGAGATATCTGATTCCAGTGCTGAAAGGGAGAAACGGATGGGCTGGGGGAAGGAAGCCTTTCCTGAGGCTGTTCTCCAAATACCTTGAATGTGTATGTCCAGAGAGTGATCAGTCCACACTGTTAGCAATTCTAGGGAAAAATCAATTGGGAAAACTATGAAGGCACACATGATCTTCATAGCAGAAGACAGCTGGTATATAACAAACCAAATAACACTAAAAACTCCTTGGGATTTAGCTTCTTCTGAAGGAATTCCTTGATCCATTCAGGTAGTAGTGACTTTGCCATAACCAGCTGAGTTCTTATAATATTTTCCTGTGGCCCACAGCAAATAAGCTTGGTAGGATAGAAATGAAGATCATGAGTAAGCCTCTCTGACCATTATTCTCAGTCATTGCTGGTGGCCTGTAAATTGACAAAACTTTGAAAGAAAATTTAGTAATATCTGTTGGAGTTAGGCATGTATGTATCCTTCATACCCTGAAATTCTATCTCTTAGAAATGTACAGTTTTTGAAGCCGGGCGGTGGTGGTGCACGCCTTTAATCCCAGCACTCTGGAGGCAGAGGCAGGTGGATCTTTGTGAGTTCGAGGCCAGCCTGGTCTCCAAAAAGAGTTCCAGGAAAGGCACAAAGCTACACAGAGAAACCCTGTCTTGAAAAACCAAAAAAAAAAAAGTACAGTTTTTGAAAATATGTAGCGGGGTAGTGGTCGTGCACACCTTTAATCCCAGCAATGGGGAGGCAGAAGCAGGTGAGTCTCTGATTTGAGGCCAGCCTGGTCTACAGAGTGGTTCAGGATACTGGTTACTATTCCATTACATGTCAACCCAAAACTTGATGACATAAAACCAGCATGTATCATAATCCCAGATTAGTTTGTATCATAACCCTGGATTCTGAGGTCAGTGATTAGGACAGAACACAACTGGAATCTGTGAGATTTGCAGACTCAGCTGGAACGTGGCTTGAGTTCACAGCACACCTGTCCACACGTACCTGACAACCGCTGTTGACAGTGGACTGGGACTCTCAGACAGACAACCCACCACTATGGTGACCTCCTACAGAGAGTCAGAGCCACTGTGTGATAGCTCAAGTTGGGGAAAATGAGTCCACCAGGACATCCAGTGTGAAGCTGTGAACCTTCATTTCAGAATAAAAGAAAACGTCATAATAGGTCCTACACTGCTTTTGAGAGGATGCTTCAGGAGAAGGGCACAGGCGAGCAAGGATTTCCCTGCCGGACAGGATCCCCAGAAAACCTGACAAAACGTTCACCAGAGCTGGAGGGCCTCTGGATCCTCCTGTGGCAGAACTGTGTTGGCACTTCAGGACTTTAGCCTCTGACCTTGCAAAGTCAATGTTATGCTCCTGAGAGGCAAAACACCCGTGTATTGTCAACACGTGCCTCGAGGGGGCAGTAGAGCTCCACTGAAAATGTCTCCCAGTATTAACCAATCCCCCCAAATCCTGCCCAACACACACTTTCACAAGCAGCGCCTGTTCTCAGTCCTCAGAAATGTGAGTTTACATGTCCAAGCAGGCCCACGGTCAGAAACAATACTGCAGGAAGTCTCTTCAATTGCCAGGACCCATGCTCTGGTGTGGGTGAGGAAGGGCAGATTCCTGGTGTCTCCTTATTCCTGGGAAAGAATACATGTGTGCCTATTTTTCCCCCTCTGTTTTAGAAAGAATGGTCACGTTATGTATCCTAGGACTGGAAAACAGGATCTGAGTAGTGATAAATGTCTAAGGAGAAGGCAATCCACCTTGAAAGATGCGCTCTCCTCCCAGACTCTGTGGTTTTTTGCCTAGTATACCTGAGGCCATGCATTTAATGAAGGGCCTCTGAACTGGCCCTTCCTCTTCCTGGTCAGAGAGGATCACTGTGTGCTCTCAGCAGGAGTCAGGCTGGTCCTGGAGACCGCAGGAGAACAAGCTCTGCTGGTCCCAGAGCCTCTGCCGAGGTCCCAGACGCCAGATCCACCGGTTTTGATCACCAATCCCGCATCACCAAGGATATTCATTGATTTGGAAAATGGATTGAACTAGGGTGTTCCCATCTGGCTGGTTATGTCCAAGGAAGGCTACAGAGCTTTTCCCATGTGAGTCTGAAACCCACCCGCCTTTTTTTTCCCCTAAGGACCTTTTCCTTTGTGCCCAGCAGGGATTAACAGTTGCCTTGAAGGAAATCGAAGAAGGAGCCTAACTGATCTCAGTTAGAGCAAAGCTGTTCAATACTGAGGAACATGCTGGAAAGTTGGACTTCAGCCGAAGCTCTATTAACCAACTGACCTCCCTGAGTCCCTGCTTTAACTGAAGGCCGCATGCTTCGTGGTGGCCCCCCAGGACTAGTGTCAATTCAGAACAGTATCCAATAACCCCTAGAAAATAGGGTTGCTTCTTTGCCCGCTATATACAGTTACCCTAGTGCAGGGATACGGGTCCCTCCAAGGAAGGATGGAAGAAGGCCAACTGTAAAACCTTCCTTAGATATTTTAGAAAGAGCCCATCGGGGGACCTGGCCTTTTCTTCATCCAGGGAATTCTGGGCCTGCAAACTTCGGAGAACCAGAGTTTATTTCTGTAAAGACAGAGTGCCAAGGTTTGGCTAGTCCCCTTAGAATATTAAAAACTCAGGCAAACCAATAATGGTGGGTAGGTTTTCCTCACAGTGGAAACCTAAGAGGACTGTGTTTGAAAACCATGCACAGACGACTGTCTGTGGAGAAACGTGAAGACGGAGCTACTATGTCCAGAGCTTGGGAGCTGCAGACAAGCTGAATCGGAAGGGAGGCCAGTCCGAGCTACCAGGGCTTGTTACAAAATAAGTAGAGAAAAAAAAAAAACTCAAAATGACACTCTTACTTATCGATTGGGTATGTAATTATACTTCAAAATTGCTAAGGGGAACACAAACACATATTAACCACTACTGGTTGCTATAGGGTTCAAACCCACAGAGGCATCTGCCGAACAGATCCACAATGCGCTGTAGTGGAAGATAGCT